CTCAGCAGGACAGCGGACATAATTTAGGGTTTAGGGTTCAGGGTTCAGGTTCAGGGTTTAGGGTTTAGGGTTCAGGGTTCAGGGTTTAGGGTTTGGGGTTCACTTATTATAATACGGCACCTATTATTTAGGGCACCCCCAAAGGGGACCATAATTTTGACAGCTACCCATGCAGGGCTCAGGGTGTCAAGCCTGTATGCTTCGAATCCTCAGGGCCCGGCACAACATCGACAACAGCAACAACCTGACGAGTAGCAAGATGAGTTAAAGGAAACTAATTACAGGTGGGGAGTTTAGGGTTTATAGAACCCTACTTAGAGGCCCAGGGGACTTAGTAAGTCGGTTATAAGTGGGGTTCTAACTGAGGTAACTCCATTTTGGGTACTTGTAACTCCATTTATAACTATACTTACTAAGTCCCCTGCGCCTCTAAGTAGCAAGATGAGAGGGCGTAGCGCAGGCCTTGAGGTCTATGTCCTTAATGGGCTGGGTGTGGGGTTCAAGGTTTAGGGCTCATCCCTATACACCCTAAGCCCTACAGTTCAAAGCTGAAGGTTTTCAGGCTACCCTAAACTCCCTAAACCCTAAACCCTGAACCCTAAACCCCTAAACCCTGGAGTTTCGGCGTTCAGAGACCAATGGCTCAGGGCCTTGCAGTGGCATCTGGAGGCCCAGTGAGCGTTAGAAAAAAGCGAGGCATGTCAGGTTCCAGCAGTTACCTACCTTAAGGACGAAATGACCCTTAAAAGTAAGGGCCCTATACCTTTATACTATGAACCCCTATATGGTATATGTACCCTAATCCCTTTAGGGGTCATTTCGTCCGTAAGGTAACTGGCCTTTATACGGTCTAGGTTTAGTGTTTATAGGGTTTAGATATACTCCCCCAAAATACGAAGCTATACACTACAACTATCCGTAGGAGACCCTTGATGGCACCATGCCCCAAAAACCTACAGCCCTACTGCGATGTTCTGGGGTCTGGTAGGTAGATTAAGGCTGAGGGCCGTTCAGGATTTAGGGTTTAGGGGGTTTAGGGGCTTTAGGGTTTAGGCTATCGGGGCCTTAAAAACGTCACCCTTGTTAAGGGGATATATAAAGAAGTCACAATAGCGAAACCTGCAGAACCCTACATGAAACGAAGTTCTTGCCTGCTTGACAGGGTCTAGGTTAAGGACGCGCATTCCTTTCCACATCATTGAATCACAGGGTTGATAAGGGGCCCCTGTGGAGGGGACCGCTGTGGGTCGCACTTTTGCCGAATGGGCGTGTTGCGGACCAACGGGGCCTAATGGGGCCAAATGCTTGGCAACGCGCCCATTCGGCAACAGTGCAACCTACAGGGGTCCCCTTCACGGGGGCCCCTTATCATCCCTGTGATTGAACTTTAGGGACTCACGCTCCAAAGGCCCGCTCTATTCCACACTTCCCTCCTTCTAGTCATTAACATCCCTCAGCACCCTAAGCCCTAAACCCAAAACCTCGCCAAAACCCGAAGTACTGAAGAGGAAGCCCTCCTGGCAACAGCAACCGAGTCAGCCATACCCTATATAACCCTTATATACCCCTCATATAGTCGAATAAAGCCTCTATATAACCCCAAGGGTCCCTTTAAGGGTCCCTCCTTTAGTCCCTTGAGCCGAGCGTCAACAGGGACAACAGCTACATGGAGCGATGTCGTCACCGGAGATCACGCGTGCCTGCAAGAACCAGGCCTACTCTTGCAGTGGATAGGGTTTGGGGTTAAGGTTCCAGGGTTTAGGGTTTAGGGTTTAGGGTTTAGGGTTTAGGGTTTAGGGTTTAGGGTTTAGGGTAGGTTCCAGGGTTTAGGGTTTAGGGCTCGTCTCGATAGCTCCTGAGGGCAGGGTTTGAGCGATTTTTTTGGGGGGAGCTGCTGAGATCCTCTGTTACTGTAAGGTCTTCTCGATGGAAACGGTGCAGGGTCTTGGATTACAGGATGTTTGGGTGGGGGCGTTCAGGGTCCAGGGTGGTGGAAAGCATCTAGTCTAGAGTCTAGAATTCCAGGTCATAGGAATTCAGGTTTTTGCATTTGAGGTTTTTGGTCATTTCGGGCTTAGGGCTACTGTGCTAGATATGGAGGAACTGAAAGGATTGCCGTGCCCTAAACCCTGGCTTCCACGCGACAAGAAGGCTACTCAGCGAAGCGACTGACAAGAGAACAGATTAGGGTCAGGGCGCTGATAGTCCGCACTATCAACGACTATGTTAGCCTACTTGTCCAGTGATCATGGGGAACCAAAGGTTAACCTTTGGGATTATGTAGCGATTATCTTATGTACCCCAAAAAGGTTAAAGGTTAGCTTCTCTGCTACCAGATAAACAGTCAAGCAAGGATGGATCCAGACGATCGCCGTTCAGGGTCGATGATTCTGGCGCAAAGATAGCACTTGCAAGGGGTTTAGGGTTTGGGGTAATTTAGGGTTCTGACTGTACCTACTTGTGTTTCAGGCACCTCATTCGTGTGGGCGCCGACTGCTTCGTAAACTTCGCCATAATCGTCTTAGACGGCAACCGTGAGCATGGCCAGTGACATATAGGAAATCGAAATCTGTATCATGTCACAACGTGATTCGTAACTTCCCAGTTGTATACTTCCACAACACTTCTTGCTGCGTTGGCGCACATCTTCTCAGGCCATGCAGAGTACAGACTGTAGTACGAGGTCCCAGTCTGCTGCGTGAGAAGTCCCTCGCCTGACGAACTGAGTCATCCATACTGACCTGAGCGTATATC